ACTGGTAGTAGAATTTTCCCACAATGTTATGAGCCGAGCTGGCGTTTCCATTCAATTTCACAGAGCCTTGCTCTCCCAAAAGTTGTTCTCATCCTGGCTGGAGGAGACTAAGATGACGAAACTTCTCATCTATGAGTTATGTTCACCCTATTTCGCTTAGGATAATGATGGATGAGTAGTTGAATTTTCTCACTTTAGCTGACGCTTTCATTGAATTCCACTTTCACAAAAGATGTTCTCATTCCCGCTGGAGTGAGTTTCTGGTTCGACCTCGCCGAGGTCTTATCAACACCCCCAGCGGGATTCGAGCCATAACCGTGCATCTTGCAATCTCGACACGTTAACCACTACGCCACATTGCCACGAGTGCCCTTGGATGACAGGAAATACATGAATTAGCAAAAAAGGTCAGGCAGTTTCCCATATCACATTCTCTGGTGGGATTGTCGATGAAGCAAACGCATATTTGCTAAAGCAATCGGCGACACTACTACTTGGTATTCTCGAAAACCTACTCAAAACTAAACATTCTCATGCAGACGTTGTAAGCCTAATCTATAAAAATGTCATATCAATTATTTAATGTGATACCATACTTTTTTGCTTGGTCCAAATGCCCTTTTATAAATCTTTTAAAGTTAGTACTGAAAATAAGCTTCCTAGAAGTACCACAATCTCAGCAATAAAAATGGCCAACAGATCAAACTCAAACTGATTAAAAAAGCTTTTCCCTTTGTGCATCGAAAACTAAATAAAATAACCCCCAAAGAAACAAATGTCAACATTCGAAAATCTCTTGCTTCCTCGTGCTATTCAGTCAAGCTTCATTCTGGCCCGAAAATGACAAACTAAGCTTTTGATCCTCTTCCATGAGGACATAATTTCACACTCTGCGTTCTCATTTACTGGTGAAATAAATTTATTCCAAGTTTTTTTATCTACGAATGTGCTCGCCGCATGTGGATGAATAAAGGGCAAAAGTATGAGGACATTACTCACAAATTGTACAAGTTGATGTCGGGCGTCCAGAGTTGATCGGGGAAAATGGAGAGGATTGAAATGTTTGCATGATCTTTTGGGTCCCAGTGCAGGAGTGAATCGTTCCAGGCCTGGAGGGAAGCGGGGTCGGACAAAGAAGTAAGACAATTTTGTGCATTATACGGTCAAAATGAAGACAAAATGCAGAAACAAGCTCATAACTAACTTTCGAAATGTGTGTATCTCGGTTTGCCTAAAGACGAGGTTAGATAAAGCGACACGTTAAGCAGGAAAGTGGGGCTTTCTCCACATGCCCGAACTAATAAAAAGATTTCTTAGCTTTTCTCTGTGTAATGGATATTGCTAATTTTTATTATTTAAGAGCACAATTTTTGGGCATCTCTTCACAAACACACTCAAGAGGACGTTTAAATAAATGGCGCAAAGAGGTCTAAAGACGTTCTAGGTGATAGAAAGCCTGATTGTTGAGCTCCTCACAATGGAATGATTAAAAGACCTCAAGGAACCATCGAATCCTGCATAGCCTTGTTTTCCAAAATGTAATGTGAAATTTGGTCTTCCGATCATTTCGTAGTATTAATCCCAATAATCAGGCCTTGCATCACCTTTCAGAGACCCAAGGTGACGATGGTTCTTGCGAATAGATCTCATTTTATGCTCAAATGTATCGCATATCCGTCAAGGCAAAAAAGTCAATTATTCTGTTAAGTTAATCGGAAAAATTAGCAAAAAGAAAAACCCATTTTGAGGTAAGTTTGTGCATCAGCCCTAATGGGGACATCTTATTTCAGTAGGATTCGCATGGCAACGAGTGGTTAATGAGAGTATCACATTCGCTAACCACAAAGAGGTACCAAAAGGTCAGCTGTGGAATGATTTGATATAGCAATACATCCGACAACAAGCGGACAGAATGGGCAACAACATTAAGACTTGCATGATCAGCCCAGAAATTGGCGCGCAAAATCTGCTGATTTTCGTCCAAATCCAAGATTTGAATGAGCTGAGGACGAAAAGTAACGTGAAGCGTGGAACTGCTGTTGGCGACGGGTCGGCCTATGACTCCGAAATCACGATAGCGCTTCATCAACGTCCTTAGTAGATTCCTCTCGACGGAGTAGGTCTTGTGTTCTGAAAAGGTAGTTTCACATGGTGAAGTGAAGAAGTGATGAAATGAAGAAGTAAGGAAGTAAAGCAATGAAGAAATGGTGAATGGTAGAAATAATCAAGTGGTCAAGCGAAGAAGTGGTAAAATGATAAGGGAGATAAGTGAAGAAAAGAAGGAATGATCACGTGATCAAGTGAGCAAGTCAAGAAGTGACCAAGATGAGAAATTCTGGAATGATGAAATAAAAAAGTAATAAAGTGATAAAGTGATTAATTGATGAAATGATTAATTGAAGAAGTGCCGGAGTGCTGGAGTGCTGAAGACGTGAAGTGATGAAGGGATAAGGTGACGAAGGGATGACGTGATAAAGTGATGAAAAAATGACGTGAAAAATTGATGAACTGATGAAGGGATTAATTGAAAAAGTGATTAAATCAATTAGTGATGAGGAAGCGAAGTGAAGTAAAGGGGAAGTGAAGATGCAATGAAATGATGAATTAAGGAAGTGATGTAGTCTTGTAGTGAAGATGAAAAGTGAAGAGGTAATGAAGTAAAGAAGTGATGAATTGAAAAAGTGATTGAATCATGCAATGATGAGGAAGAGAAGTGAAGAAATGGTGAAGTGAAGAGGCTATGATATGATGAATTGAAAAAGAGATGTAGTCTAGTAGTTAAGATGAAAAGTGAAGAGGTAATGAAAGGATAAGAAGAATAATTAAAAAAAGTGATTGAATCATGTAATGATGAAAAAAACAAGTGAATAAATGGTGAACTGATTATGCAATTAAATGATGAATTGAAAAAGTGATTGAATGATGTAATGATAAGAAATATATTTGAAGAAATGGTGAACTGATTATGGAATTCAGTGATGAATGGAAAAATTGATTGAATCATTTATTGATGAGGAAGCCATGTGAAGTAAAGGTGAATTGAAGAGGCAATGAAATGATGAATTGAAAAAGTGAGTGAATCATTTAGTGATGAGGAAGAGAAGTTAAGAAATTGTGAACTTATTAGGGAGTTAAAGGAGGAATTGTAAAAGTGATTGAATCATGTAATATAGGAAAAGAGAAGTAAAGAAATGGTGAAGTGAAGTTGAATTGAAAAGATGATTGAATCGTGTATTGTTGAGGAAGCTAAGATAAGTAAAGGTCAAGTGAAGTTGCAATGAAATGATGAATTGAAGTGATGTATTCTTGTACTGAAGATGAAATGTAAAGAGGTAAAGAACTTATGAAATAAAAGTGGTTAAATCAACTAGTAATGATGAAGTAAAGTGAAGAAATTGTGAACTGATTTGGCAATGATATGGTGAATTTAAGAAGTGATTGAATCATGTAATGATGAGGAAGAGAATTGAAGAAATGGTAAATTTAAGAGGGAATGATATGATGAATTGAAGATGAGATGTAGTATACTAGTGAAGATGAATAGTGAAGAGGTAATGAAGTGATGAAGTGATGAATTGAAAAAGTGTTTAAAAGATGTAATGGTGTGGAAGATAAGTAAAGAAATAGTGAACAAATTAGGAAATTAAATGATGATCCGTAAAAGTGATTAAATCATGTAAGGATGAAGAAGAGGATTGAAAAAATGATGAAGTGAAGATGCAATGATATAATTAATTGAAAAAGTGGTTGAATCGTGTAGTGATGAGGGAGCCAAGTTAAGTAAAGGTATAGTGAAGTGGCAATGAAATGATGAATTGAAGAAGTGATGTAGAGTTTTAGTAAATAAGAAATGTAAAGAGGTAATGAAGTAATGAAGTGATAAATTAAAAAAATTGATTTTATCATGTAATGATGAGGAAAAGAAGTGAAGAAATGGTGAAGCAAAGAGGGAATGATATGATGAAGTTAAAAAGTGAATGTATAATGTAATAGTGAGTAAGATAATTGAAGAAAGGGTGATCTGATTAGGAAATTAAATGATGGATTGAAAAAGTGATTAAATCTTGTAGTGATGAGGAAGGAAGGTTATGTAAAGATGAAGTGAATTGGCCATGAAGTGATGAATTGAAGAAGTGCTTTATTTTTGTAGAGAAGATGAAATCTGAAGAGGTAAAGAAGTGATGAAGTGATGAATTAAGAAAGTGATTGAATCATGTAATGATGATGTAAATAATTAAAGAAATGGGGAACTGATTTCGCAATTAGATGCTAATTAAAATATTTATTGAATCATGTAATAAGGAGGAAGAGAAGTGAGGAAATGGGGAAGTGAAGACGCAATGATATGATGAATTGAAAATTGATTAAATCATGCAATAATAAGTAAGATAAATTAAGGAATGGTGAACTGAAGAGGCAATTATATGTTAAATTGAATTGTGTTTGAATCATGTAGTGAGGAGGAAGCCAAGGGAATTAAAAATAAAGTGAAGAGGCAGTGAAATGATGAATTGAAGAAGTGATTGAATCATGTAATGATGAGGAAAAGAAGTGAAGAAATGGTGAAGTAAAGAGGCAATGATATGATGAATTTGAAAAATGATTTAATTGTCTAGTGATGAAAATGAAAAATGAATATGCAATGAAGTGATAAATTGCAAAAGTCTTTGAATCATGTAGCGATGAGGAAGCCAAATTAAGTAAAGATAATATAAAGTGGCCATGAAATGAAGTATTGAAAAAG